TAAACTCTCCCACAATAATTATGTTATCTAAAGTGATTGCCCTCATTAATTCAAATTAAAAGTAAGTAAGGGGCAAGCAGAAGATAAGCAAAAGCAAATAAAACTTTTAAAAAAATATTTTCTAGTTCAGGTGTAAGAGACTTAAGAATGAAAGGCTGCTGACACTGTGTAGAGCAAATGTAGGGAACACTGTTTTTCTACTGTCTCACTGAAGCACTCTGGGAAATTCAGTGCCAAATAAAAGCATCCTCTTCTCTGGTGGCATTTCATCAGCCTTCAGTGCCTTATACTTCATGACTCCCAGTCCACCACATGTGACAAAGATCTGGTCGTCAGCGCGATGTGGATAACTGACCTGTCCTGCAGCTGCAGTGGTTGTCATAGTAATCTAGGTGACAGTATTCATGGTGATGTGCAGGTACAGTCGTGGGATGGACCGGAGAGATTACTACAGCCGATCTCGTTCAGCCGACCGACCCATCTACACACGCTCACACTCAACCGATCGATCTGACTCCACACACATGAGGTCTGGACGGTCTGCTCCCCCCTCACCTGCCCTGATCAGGTGACCCTCAGCCATCCAATTAGAAAGCAGCTCCATCTCCATGTTTGGGGCATGTTTTTTTTTTTTTTTTAATTTGGTTGGTTGTTTGTTTTAGACAAGCATGAATTCTGACTCAGTGGTGACCACAACAGTTTTATTTTCCGCCTTTATTTTAGCCCCACCATATGTCCCAGTGACCTCACCAACACCTGAACATTTCATATTTGACCGCAGCTTTTATATTCTGATTGTTTTGTTTTATTTTGGTTGGCAAGTTAGTCTGTGTTGTTGTTCATTTGTTTGCTGGTTTTGTTGCATGTGCTTCTAAAGAATTTCTGTTCACTTTCTGACACCTAACTGTTGGATGTTCAGTTTCCTCCAAACTGGGCTTGGCACTCGGGCGTATTGCCGGCAACATACAAGTACCAAATTTAAGCAGGGAGGTTTTTGTCTGCGATCACAGTGCTGCCTCTATCACAGCTCTGAACACACCCAGTGGCAGCTGATGTTGGTCAGCTGTATGTATCTGTATTTCACAGAGACAGATTTGTTTATAACGTCTAAGAGACATTAGAGCTACAAACAGGTTTTCAGCAGTGATGGGGCCTTGCACTCTTTGTTTCAAGTGTGAACTCTTTCTGTTCATGTTATAATTTTTTTCCAACAGTTATACAGAATTAATGACGTCCAAAGGTTTACATTCCTACCTGGTTGTGTGATGTACAGGCATGCTTCAGGATACTGTAACATCACAGTTGGGTGTGGCTGCATGTGCAAGAAGAGTCCACTCTACTTTTGCTTGTTACTGCTTCTCAAGCAAAAACATCTGGAGTGACTGCAGACTTTTCATTAACTGACTGAATACAGTGCCAAACTAAATGCTGATCAAACTCTATCTGTGACTATGGAGGGAACCTCAAACT